GGGGGGGGGGGGGGGGGTCGCCACGTTTGGGCGCGAGGGCCAAGCACGCCAGCGGGGGCCGGTGGGTGGGGGACAGGGAAGGAGGGGGAGCCGGGGTGTGAGGATCCGAGCGGCCAGGCGCGGTGCCTCACCGGGGAGAGGACCGGCTGGACGTAGCCTGCCGGCAGGCCGTGAAAGCTCTGCCGCGCCTACAGGAAGGGCTCCTGGAAGGGTCCTCGAAGGGTCCTCGAAGGGTCCTCGAAGGGCCGTGCTAGCTCTGCCGCGCCTCATTCCCGTTGTGCTCGTTGAAGGCCTGCACGTGCGCCGCCCCGGCCGCGGCGGCGGCGGCGGCGGCGGCGGGGAGGGCGGCGGAGAGCGGCGTCCTCTCGAGAGGAAGGCGGTTGCGGTGGGCGAGGTTGGGTGTGCCCACGGCGCTGGCCGGCAGCCGCATGCCGGCGCCGAGCAAGTGGGCGGTGTAGTGGTGGTTGTACGACTGGTAGTTAGGAACAGACACGTCGCCGCCGGCCGGCCGGCGAACCACGTCCACCTCGAAGCCCGTCACGGCCATCGCAGATCCGTTGTACCGCTGCACGACCTCCACGGGCAGCGGCACCGGCGGCAGCACGCGCCAGACCACGCCAGCGTACCTACCCACGCCCGCGGCCGTGAGCAGACGCTATCCGCCTAGCCCGGCCGACTCGTCTGTGCGGTGCCTGGGGACATGTCCCGGACATGTCATGGACGTGTCGCGGCAGCCGCACCTGCTCCTCGCGGCGTGCAGCACCGCGAGCGGATGGGCGGCGAGTAGAGAGTGAAGTGCTCCGAGGTGCGGGCGAAGCCGCGCGGGGAGAGCTCGTGGCCCGGCAGCGCGTTGGCGACGTGGTACGCGAGGCCAGCGTTCATGTGCGGCGACGCCTCCTCCGCGGCCTCTGCCCCGGGCGGGGCGCGGACAGGCTCGTCGCGTGCACAGCCGCGGGGCCGGGAGGCGTCGCGCGTGGCGTAGAGGGACGAGATGTCGAGCGAGAACCTGCCCGCCGTGCCCGCCGTGCCGAGCCTGCGCCAGAGTTGGGAGGATGAGCATGGGGACATGGAAGACACGCGCCAGGGTCGGGGCGTGAGTGCGGTCTCGTGCAGCGAAGAAGGGTGAGCACAGGGAATGTGGTTGCGTATCTCCGCTTCTAGCTCCGAGCCCGAGCTGCGAGAGGGCGCCGAGGTGGTCGGCGAGGGGAGGGCCCTTGATTGGCCTGGCGGCAGGGGCCGCGGGGGGGAGGAGTCAGTGGGCGTGGCACACCCTGTCAAACAAGGCCAGGAGGGGGGGGGGGGGGGCGCTGTTCTAGGGCCAGGGCGTGCTAGCGCAAGGGCAAGGACGGCTCGCGGGCGAAGAGCACCGCCCGCGAAACGACGGCCGGAACGCAGACCACGGGACGCGGCAGTCGTCGGCGCAGCAGTACTCGCCACCGAGCTGGGCTTGGTACAGCGTCTGCATCGTCGTCACGCCCTTGACCCCCACCTGCAGGCTGAAGTCCGCGGCCGGCAGCCCGGAACCGCCCTTGAGGGAGAGTCCGAGGTGTGTGGAGCCAGTGACGTTTCGGAAGAGCGCGTCGCCGGCCGTCCGAGCGGTGCAGAACCCGGGGGCGCCGAGCGAGCGGACAATCTTCACCTCGCCCGCCCACCGCCCAATTCGCTCCTCTCTCACCACGGAGAAGGACGAGTCGGAACCGCCGCCCATCACGGGGTCGTTTACCGTTATCCACTGCCGTGCAGTGCCCGCAGTGCCATCGAAGGCGGCAAGCGGGACGTCGCTCCACGCGAGGAGCATCGAAAAGAGCAGCAGCATGAGATAATTAGGCTGCTATTGTCGGCAGGCTGCCCCAGAACGTGGCGCGCCCGTGTCGGGCCCCCAACACCCGACGCTGGAGCTCGAGCCAACAACCGGCTCGGCGGACTCACCCCCCCCCCCCCCTCCCATACTCCCAGATGCTATTTTTGGGCCCCACGGCAGCTCTGGACGCCAGCCACCGTCTCTAAGGGGCTCAACAGCTTCTTAAGATACATAAACGTCAAACGACCACATGGCGCCAACCACATTGTCGCGGGGCGGGGTACCGGAATGGTGGCACTGAGGCCCGAGGGGTGCGGGAGGCGCACGGCGGGGGCCGGCCTCGGGGTGAGGGTGAGGTCGGCCGCCGCCACCGGGGGTCGCCGCGCCGTAGAGCGGCCCGTCGGTCTCCCTACCGGCGGTGCGCGCGGCCGCGCTCGAAGGCGCTGATTGCTCGGCCGCGCGGGGCCAGGTGACTCGCCCGCTGGAAGGGTGGTGCACGGGGTTTGCGGCGGGGTCCCCAACGTCCCCGGGGCGGCCCTGCTGGCGGGCCGCCGCCGCCGCCAGGGCGGCCCCGATGACGGAGAGCTCGTGGTGCTCGGTGTCGCTCTCCATCTCGTCGAAGAGGTTGCCTGCCCCCTGCTCGAGGGCTCGTGCCCGTGCCTTGTCCCGCAGGGTCCGGACCTGCGCACGGATGTGATCGAACTCCGCTTGCATCTCTGCGAGCTCGGTGCAGTCCGCCCGCCTCTCGGGCCTGTGGGACGTGCCGTCCAGGGCGACGTAGCAATCTCCCTTGTCTGAGGGAAGGCCGCCATCCGTGTCTGCTCCCTCCCCCACAGCCCGCCGCGGTGGGGTCGGTGAGCCACACCGTGCGGCGTACTTGTGCGTGTCGTGCAGCGCCGGGGGCTTGTGCGTGCGGAGGGCACGCACCCCGGGCGCGGCGCCCGCCTGGACGCCGCCGCCCAGGGCAGCTGGCGTCAGGAGCGCTCGGCTCTGCAGTCGCGACCGCTCCTCCTCGAGGACACCCTTGCCGGGTGCGTCGTGCGCCTTGTCGCTCGGCGGCGGCGTAAAGTGCCACCGCGCGCCGTGGTACCACTGCCTGCCGTGGCCTCGTGGCTCGTGGCGGTGGTCGTGACCCGCGCCGAGGGCCTCCTTGGCACCGTGTGCCACGTGCATGCCTACAGGAGCGTGCGCTCCTGCAGTGCGGATTCCGGCTTGGCTCGCGGCGCTCGCGCTGTCGTCACGATCCGGTGCTCCGGGGGCCCGTGCCCTCGGCGGGTCGTCCGACCCCATGGTTATGTGGTTTGCCTCGGCGTCTCCCGCCGGTGCGTTCTCTGGGGCTCCCCGCGATGGGGAACCTACGGCCGCCCTCGCAGCCCATGCCGCTGAGTCCAGCCCTCGGTCGGTCTCGAAACGTAGCCCCCAGGGGTCCGCTTCGTCGGATCCGCCCGAGCCGTCGGGCTGGTAGGACACATGGTCCGCCTCGACGTTTCCCGTCGACGCGCGCCTCAGGGCTCCCGTCGATCGGAAACCCACGGTCGATGCCGCAGCCCATGCCGCTGCACCCAACCCTTGGAGTTGACTATGCCCGCGCGCCCCCCGGGGGTGCGGCTCGAGCCCGTCCGGGTCATCAGACCTGGAGGTTGCGTTGCTGATCACATCGTCGTCCGATGACGATGCGCTTCCCCAGGACTCCTCTCGCAAGGGGCCAACAGGAGGAGGCGCGTCCACTGGAAGGGACGCTGCTCTCTCCACTGGAGGGTAGGTTTCCACCCGCGGACTCGCTCCGTGCGAACTCGCTGTAGGGGTAGTTTCATTCATAGCTATGGGCCCGCGCGCCACGCGCAGGCCGATTGCGGGGCTCTCCCACAACCACGCTGACCCGGATCCCAGGACCAACGACAGAGGCGAAACGACACTCGGCCCGCCGACACAATTCGACCACTGGACACTATATCTAAATGCGGCGCAGGCCAATCTCAAGTTCCCTTCTCAATTCTTCGCGGGTTTTGGTGCGGTCACCCTCCCCCGCGACACACATCGGCTCATATGAGCGTCACATGAAACCAGATTAGCGGCACTTCAAAACCGGCTGAGGAGGGGCCTCAGCTTCCAATGCAAGTTCAAGGTCGCCGTGTCCTTTGCTCAGGTTTGCAGCGTGCTCGGTCCTGTGTACGGTGTGTCCCTGCACCCCGACTTTCAGCCCTCGCTCAGCTGGTTGGACATTACAGAGTGGGACCTGATCGACCTCACCTATCCGAGCACGTGCCTCGGCTCCATGCGCACGCGCATGCTGCTTGGCGCGCTCTGGCCTTACGCGGCTGTCGCCGCGCTGTCCTTCTTCTTTGGGGCAGTCTCCCTCACGCCCTCGTGCTGGGGCAAGCTGGCGCGGCCACCCACTCAGCGGCCGGCTCATCGGGACTCCCTGGAGGTCTCGCAGTCAGGCTCGGCAGTCGGGGCGCGCTCGTTGCTGTTGCGGGTGCGTTCGTTGCTTTTCAAGAAGCAGCCGCCAGTAGAGCGCGCGAGGGCCGTGGAGCAATCTCCCAGCCTAATGACGCGCAGGCTGTCGGGCCACCTATACTCCAACCTATACCTCCTCGTGTTCGTCCTTTATCTCGTGCTTCCCTTGGTCTCGAACGCCATCTTTGAGGCAAGGCTATGCGAGTCCTTCGGCTATGACGACACGAGCGGCCTACGCATCAGCTTCTTGCTCGCCGATCTGTCGTTGCGCTGCAATAGTGGACCAACGTGGAGCAGCCAAACCACCTCGCTTGACACTTACTTTTGGACCCTGTTTACCCTCTGGACGGTTCTTGTTCCAAGCTGCTTCCTCGTCCTGCTGCTCAAGGTCCGCTCGGAGCGGCGAGCGCTGCGCACGAGCCAGATTGCGTGGTCGACGCGCTTTCTCTGGCATGACTATCGGGACGAGTTCCTCTTTTGGGAAATCGTCGATATCTGGCGCAAGGTCCGAGCCCGTGACGCATTGTCTCTCGCGTGCTCTACTCATCCAACCAACCCCAACCCCCCCTTCACACCACGCGTTACAGATCTTTCTCACTGCCATCGTGCTCTTCATCGACACGGCGCAGGGCTCCAATCGGGTGTTGAGGCTCGTCGTCGCCATCATGGTGTCCACCGTATACCTCACCGCCCTCGCCGTGGTCCGGCCGCACCGGCGGTCGGATGACTTCGCGCTCGCGTGTCTGAGCAACGTGCTGCTCATCTGCTGTTTCTCGTCTGGGGTGGTCTTGCGCTTGTGCGAGGACAAGGCCAACAGTCAGCAGCTGTGCAGCAGCCTCGTCGGCCTCTCCGACTCGCGCAGCGCGAGCCTATTTGTGGTCATCTTGTCGCTGGCGATGCTGGCGACGGCCGCCCTCGTCGTTCTTGCAACAGCAGCCTCGGCCCTGACCGCACCCACCATGAGACTGGTCCGGTCGGGCGCCGGTGCGAAGTTGCCAAACCTCATGCTCCCGACGGGGCGCCATTTCCATCTCTTCGTGTCACATTCCTGGTGCAGCGGCCAGGGTGTGGCACCCCGCCCGCCCTCACACCTGCAGGCTCGCTGCTCAGTCGTCACCGATCTCTCTCGGCCCCTTGCAGATCAGGCACATACTATCGTGCGGCGACTGCAGCAGCTCCTCCCCGACTTGCGCATCTGGCTGGACGTCGACTACCTCGACGATGTGGGCAAACTCGAGGACGCGGTGGCCGACGCGGCAGTGATGCTCGTCTTTCTCTCCGTGGGCTACTTCGAGAGCTTGAATTGCCGCCGCGAGCTGTACGCAGCGCTGGGCTCGAATCGGCCCTTCATCCCCGTTCGCGAGGCTGACCCGGCAAAGGGCGGTGCATCGATCGCGGCGCTGATGGCGGAGTGCCGCGAGAACTGCGTCGAGGCTGCCCCGCCGGCCTATTCTTGCTACCGCGGCCCGGAGGAGATGCTCGCGCGCGTGTTTGAGAAGATGCCAATCGTGTGGGTGCGGGTCAACGCCTTCCAGCTCGAGTCGCTCAAGGCCATCGCCCTGCGCATGCTGCTGCACTCTCCTTACTACGCGAGCCGCACGGCCGAGCTTGCAGCAGGCGTGACGGTGCCCGGTGAGGTGGTGCCCGTCGCCCTCAGCGGACCTGTCACCCTCCTACACTGCCGTGACAACGAGGGCGCTTTCGAATTGTCCGAAGAGATCAAGTCGGCGGCGAGCGCGAGGCAGGGGCGCGGCCTGGCTGCCAACGCCGATGCAGTCACAATCCGCGATGCGGAGGAGGCGCTCGAGGGAGCCAGTGCGGCCCCGCTCGATGGCCACGTCGTGCTTCTGCTCTACCTGAACGATAAGACCTTTCTGGACGCCGGCGGCGCCGTCGCGCGCCTCGTACAAGCGGCGATGGACCGGCGCATCGCCATCGCGCTGGTCCACGAGCAGGAGCCCGCCCGTGGCGGCGTTCCTTTCCGCTACTTGGTTCAACACACGCCGCAGGTGCTGCGGCAGCCGCCGTACACCCTCTTCGACACGGTGGCGGTGCCACTCTATCCGTCGGAGGAGCACCGCAGGGTGAGCTTACGCCTCGTGCTTTGTGGCATGGGAGCGGTGCCGTGCGACGCGGGGTTGTTCCGGCGGCAGTGGCAGCACCTCCGACGCCGCATCGCGGTGGCGCGGCTCGTGCGTGCCGCACGCCGCACGGGGGTGGCAGCTCCTACTCCGCCACCAGCTAACGTACCAGCCTGGCGGGACGTTCTGTTGAGCCGCTGATGAGTTTTCTATCAGGTGCTTCGAGTCCTTGTCCGAGACGTTGTTGAGCATCCTTCAAATCGCCTGTAAATGTAAATAAAGCCCTTTCAACGAGGAAGACGCGTCACCGCTGATGCCATTTCTTTCTTTCGAGTTACTTCTTTCTCAGTCAGTGCCACAGTCAGTGAGGGTGAGCCTTCTTTTGTACTATTAGGCTAGGTAGGATTGAGAGCAGCCTCGCTCTCAATCCTAGAAGTCGAAGGATTGTGAGCAGCACTCCTCGCATTCGTAGCATCTCTGTGCGATTGTGAGCGCCTACGCTCGCAATCCTACATCTTCTAGGACTAAGAGCAGCTCCGCTCCCAAGATGACTGGTGACGCCTACGACTACTACCAGCGCGCTCGCAATCCGAGCAAACTCTAGGGTTGCGAGCAGCTTGGCTCACAATCCTAGCAACATGCCTCCGATTGCGAGCAGGAGCGCTCGCAATCCTACATCTTGTAGGACTGTGAGCGGCGGCGCTCACAATCGTGCCAAAGATCCAAGGATTGCTAGAACTGCACAGGGGGCGCTCCCAATCGCTCCAGCCGCGAGCGCTTGTGAGTGAGCGCGCCGGGGGGGGTCTCCTCACAATCCAACAGTGCTCGCACCTGATGGCGAGGGGGCCCGCTCGCAATCCTAGAAGTCGTAGGACTGTGGGCGGTGTCGCTCGCAAATACGAAATACGCAATCGGCGAAAGTTCTAGACGTTTACCTTGGAAGGCCTGGGAGGAGCCCCCGCAGAACAACTTTGCGGTCCGGGAAGCTCCACCCCTCCCACAAGAGTCCTCCCAGGCCTTCCTCCCACATGCTGCAACCACGATCCGTGCGCCGGCGCCAGTAGCACCCTTGACCGTGGATTCGGGCACCCCCTTTCTTCCTCGAGCTCTTTCTTCTAGGTTGGGGGGAGTAATCAGGGGAGGGGCACCAACCAACTGTAGACTGACTGCGTGCGTGTTTGTTTGTCTCATAATACTGCACTCCCAACCAAGCAGTCCAAGTCCAAGAAGGCTGCGAGAAACGCAAACATGGCATCACGCACGCGCGCGCGCGCGCGCGACGCGCTGCAGATGCTGCATGCTCGCCTGGACAGCAAATGGTCACACCACATAGCCATCAATTAATTATTCACCGAACAGAAACTTTGCACAGAGCGGCGCCGCGTTGTACAAGATGTTGCCGTCCGGGAGCCACCCGTCCGCGTTCGGCGCGGCATAGTGGCTGGTGTCGACGAGCTCGTGGAACGCGCACCGCTCCGGGCCAAGGACGTCCTGGATTTGCTCGCGGCACTTTCCGGAATCGACGCACCGGTCGCGTTCGCCGGTGACGAGCAGGACTGGCGCTCGGACCTGGTGGAGCGAGGCAGCGTCGAGGGGGCTCGGCTCGCGCTCCTTTTGCAGCAGCCTCGCAACGTAGTCGGCAAAGAAGTCGCCGTGCTTTCTGCCGTAGGTTTGCTCGCGGTCGCGCACCATCGCGCCCTGCACGAGGCTGTGCGTGAGCAGGTGGCCTGGGCGGCAGCCAATCATTCCGTCGAAGGAGCAGACCTCGCGGAGCTCTGCTCGCGTCCGCCAGGCGTGGACGCGACGCGGCTCCGTTCTCGCGCAGCGCTCGAAGCCGTCGTCCATCGTCTCCGGGAAGGCTGGCGCGATCATCGCAAGCTTACGGACGTGCGCCGGATGCGCTTGAAGGAGCTCCATTGCAACCCTTCCCCCGAGGCTGTACCCACACAGGTGCAGGTGCGGGCCGCTGTCGTCGTCGCCCAGCAGCCCCACCGCTTTGGCGAACGCCACTGTGTATTGAAGAATGGTATCGCAGCCGGGGTGAGCCCCGTCAAAGTTCTCGATGTTGGCCTCGTGAAGGGGCAGCTCCATGACCACCACTCGCCACGAAGGCGGCGGCCGCAGCTTCCAAACGAGATCAGACATGATCAGGGCGGCCGAAGCCGTGAAGCCGGGGATGATGAGGAGAACCCGCTCGTTGCCGCCAGGGGAGGTCGTGGTAGCCCGCTCCAGAAAGTGCGCCCTCACAGATCGGCGGTAGCCGGGAGGGCGCATGCGCACGGACCTCCGGACGAGGCCGGCGCGGCGAAGTTTGAGCGCTTCGAGGCCTCGGATTGCCGCGCAGGAGATTGACGTCAGCACCTCTGATCTGTGACGGGCGACATAGCCGACGCATGCGAGGATGACGACGACGACAGCCACGACTAGAGCGAACATCGCGAAGAGAGGAGGCGGCTGCAGGCGAGGAGGCGGGGCGGCGTGTCGCTCCTTTCCCGACTTTCGAGATCATCGCGAGCGACGGCGGGAATTCCCATTTTTCTTTTTTGTCCGATTGCCGTGAAAGTGCTGCTGAGAGAGAGCGTTTCGCGGTAACATTCTCACACGCACGTGAATGGAATTCCTAGGAATTCGCAGCTCGCGCGAATCTCCCGCTTCACCCACCTGTAACCTCACAACATGGATGGAATTCCTACTCGAGTACTGTGCGAGACAACGAGAGTCCAGTGTACATGCACGAACGCCCTACTGGGTTCTCGACAGACGACTGACACACCCTCCTGCCGGCACATGTCATGTTGTTGTGGCATGTGTATTCAGCCCACGCCATCTCAGGCCGCGCGCGACGCGCTGGCCCTGGCGCGCGGCCCCTCGCTCCCCTCACGATCTAGCGCCCCGTGCAACGCCAAATGGGAAGTTGCTGCCGGCGGCCGAGCCTTTCTTTGTGAGCTTCTCCACCGCCGCCGCGCTCAGTGCCTGCTCAACCACTCCGCCAAAGCCGGTCCGGGGCGCCGCGCTCTCACGCAGAGGCTGGACGGGGAGTACGTACTCGATCTTTGCCGCCTGCATGTACGCGTGGGCAAACAGCAGCAGGCGCGACTTTGCACCGTACACGCCCATAATATCGTGGGCGGCGAGCACACTCGTCGGCCAAATGTTGAGGAGGAGGTGCCCCTTGTCGAGGGCCGCCTCGCCGAATTGATTTTCGCACTCCGACCACTCCCCAGACTCGACCGCAAACGTCGCGATGGCATCCAGCAGCTCGTTAATCTTGCTCGACTGCGTTGCGGCGGGCACCATCAGCTGAACGAGCAACGTCAGCTTGCCGGAGCGCGACAGGTTGGTCAGCGCCATGTTCTTGACGGAGCTGTTGCTCACCACCATCGCCTCGCCGTTGGCGGTGAGAAAGTGCGTGCGCAGCACCTCTACATCCTTGACAATCAACGAGGACAGCGCGGGGCTCGAGCCGGGCGTTGCAACGTAGACGCGCTCGCCGATGTCGTATGGCCGCGTGACGTATGTGAAGAAGAAGCTGGTGAAGACCTCGGCACACACACCTCCCGCGAGGGTGAAGAAGATGAGGAGAGCCGATGTGAGGGGGATGAGCATGCTCACAAGGTTGACATCGATGAAGGGGAGCCGCAGCAGGAGCACCAGAAAGATGAATGCCCAGATACACTGCAGCCCACGCAGCAGGATCACCTGAAGCCGGTCGAAGTTGGCGACGGAGGCGGTGAGAAGCCGCTGCTCCTTGTAAGAGCGCTCCACTGCCTGGACAAAGGCGTCTTGCGTCACCCATGGCCCGTAGCTGAAGAGCGCCGCTGCGAGCTTCGGCGGCGGCGAGCGTGCGCCCTCAAACGCCCACCGGAGCAGCGTTTCGCGATCGACGGCCGGCTCCGGAGCCTCGCTGATCAGACTGCCTCGCCCCGACGCCGTCGTCACGAGCGCCTCCTCCTTGAGGATGAGCTTGAAGAGGCGCAGTGCACGGCGACGGGCCTGCGCGAGGGAGCCCGCCTCGGTCAAGTCCGCGCCGATGTCGAGCGGCCCGGCCAGCCGCTGGAGCTGCTCTTGCAGCTTGCTCAGGTGGCCCGGGCGCGCCAACTTGCGGCGACTGTCGCCGTGATCGAGAGGCGCCTTGGTGTAAGGGCCGTGGCGATGGACGCGCCGCCTCTCGGCGGACCTGGCTGCGGCGGCAATCTTCCGCAGCGCCTGCTGCTGGTCGAAGGCCGACTGGGAGCGGTCCTCGTAGTGCCGCAGAGTCAACTGGTTTTGCGAGAATTGGACGGCTGCGTCGATGAGCACAAACGCCAAGGCGGCGACCAGCATCCATGTGCTAGCTGGCACAAAGGAGGGCAGACCAAAGAGGTTCTTCCACGCCGTGCGGTCGAAGTAGAGGATCCGAAAGACGGCGTTGGAGACGGGGAAGAGCATCGCCGGCACGCAGAGCGGGCAAGAGAGCGCACTGCGAATCAGCAGCAGCAAGATGCCCGGCATGAACCGCTGGAGGGCGGGGCTGCTCAGCACGCCCCACACAAACAGCGAGGCGGCGCGGGCCGCAGCCAGAGAGTAGAGCGGGCGGAGCATCCAGAGGAGTAGTTCGCTGATGAGCCGGAACTCGTCATCGGCGTCGAAGGCGTCGGGCCCCTGAGACCCGGCCTCCCCGTCTTCTGCGCCGAATGGCCACTGGAAGCCCGCGGGCTCGTCGGGCTCTGCCGCGAGGGGCGCATATCCGGTGCAGTTGGAGAGCGTGATGCAGCGCTTGTCGATGCGAGACGGGGCCTCGACGAGAATGACGGCGATGGAGGCTGCCAGGAGAATCAAGCCGCCGCAGAGCTCGCGCCCGAGGAGCAGCCCGAGCTGCAGGAGCGCACGGCAAAACTCCCGCGATGGCAAAGTTGAGTGGGCCTTAGGCTGAGGCGGCGAGGTGTACAGTGGGAGGTGGTCGGCCGAGCCCTGGCCGCGGTCGGCCGAGCCTTTGCCGCTGGTCGACTCTGGCGCCGCCGTGCCTGCGCTCTCGCGAAGCTCCTCGATCTCCTCGAGGATGGCGTTCTCGAAGCGATCCAGGCCGCCGTGGCGGTTGGCTGGCGCCAGCTCGTTCACCATCTCCACCGCTTCGGTGTAGTTGGCTTTGGCTGCCGTCGATGACAAGGCGGTTGAGCGGGAGTTGGATCGCAGACGGCTCGGGGTGACCGGGCTTGCTGCTCCGCGTGGCGGCTCGTTCCCGGACACCTCGCTCGGGAGGGCGTGCTCCATGACAAACGAAGACCAGGAGCGGTACGGATGTGTCGGACGCGACGGTGGTGCTGCCGGCCTTGCTCGCCGGCGATAAGGAGCGGGCGTGATAGGCCCATCCCTCCCTTCTTCTCCTTTTCCCGTCCTTTTCTTTTTCTGTTTACATTTCGTGGTTTCTTTTTGTGTTGCTTCTTTCTTTTCTTGCTAGCCGGCGAGCGCCGTACTCACCTGGGTTCCGGCTCCTACCCAGATAGGGGGTCTGTTGCCTATGACTCGCACCAAAACGACAATCTCACTCTCTCTCTCTCTCTCTCTCTCTCTCTCTCTCCAAAACGCCCTACCTACCTACCTATTGCGGGCGCCAATCGCCAGGCTCCGTGCCCCACCTACCTACCTATTCCCAGGCCGCGCAGCGAAGCGAAAAAATACCCGTTAGCCCTCTGTGAATAGGCTCCCAGCGCCCGTCTCGGCTGGCGTCCCAGCCGCAGGCGACTCGCCTGGCATGGCCCCGTTCGCGGCTAACCCGTCTCCCACGGCCACGCAGCGAAGCGGTTTTCGCTGGGTTTTTGTGGCTTTTTGCGCGGCTTTTTTGGATTCTCCCGCCTTCCTACTACTCTCTTGGGTTCCCCCCCCCCCCCCGCCCACCACCACCACCTACCTACCTATTGCGGGGCCCTCTGGGGCGGTCAAAACCGGACCTACCTACCTATTGCATGGGGTCTAACCGTAGGCAACAGACCCCCTATCCCCGGTTTTTTTGTTTTCCGGAGCCGCTTTTCTTGTTCGCTTGTGGTGCGGCCGGCGCGGCCGCGGCGCGGGCCTCTACTCGCCCGGTTGCTTTCTCGCACAGGTTGCTGCTCGCACACCGCTTGGGCACGAGGCCTCGACTGTGCGACTGTGCGACCGTGCACCCTGCCGATGCCCTTCAAGCAGAAGGAAATTCTCGTCAAGGCCGAGCAGAAGCTCAGCGGCAAGGATGTGAAAAAGCTCTCCGCTGAGGCGTCCAGGCGCTCCAAGCCCGTGCAGACATCCACACACGCGGCCACCCGCGCCTGCCGCGCACCGAGTAGGACGGACTACCGAGTAGTAAGCCTCGGAAGCCTCGGAAGCCTCGGATTCCACCGCGTGTGCTGGCAGGCGGCTGGCGGCACCCGAGGATGCTGCGCTCCTCCTCCGAAAGGGCGCCGACGTCGTGCAGAGGCGCACGGCCGGCGGGTTGGTGTGCCGCATCATCGACTGCGACAGAGTCCCGGTGCTCTTCGAGCTCGGCAGCTCGGGCCTCTTGCCGACGCTGCCCGGGCTGTGGCGAGTCCCGACCGCGCTGCCCGCTCTCGTCTGCCCGCCAGAGGCGGCCCGTGCGACCCGCCTCACGGAGCTGCTGGAGCCCTGCCCCGACGCTTCTCGGAACATGCCTGCAGGCGGCGCGCTACTTGATCAACGGCGCAGACCTGCTCCTCCCCGGCGTGCGTGCCGCCGACGCGTCGGTCGCAGCTCTCCCCGCCGGCGCCGCCGCCTGCGTCCGCATCTTCGGCAACCCCTCGGCGGTCGCGGTTGGCGTGCTTGCCGTGCCTGGCGCCGCTGTCGCCGAGGCGGTCCGCAGCCCAGGCGCGGTCAAGGGGACGGCGCTGCAGGTCGAGCACGTGGTCGGGGACGCGCTCTGGCGGCTCGCGGGCCGGCCTCTCCCCAACTCGGGCTTCGTCGTTGCCGAGGGCGGCGGCGTGAGCGTGGCGCCGGTGGAGGCGGCGCAGGGCGACGGCGGCGGGCTGGGCGGCGGTGGCGGGCTGGGCGGGGGCGGCGGGTTAGGCGGCGGCGGGCTGGGCGGCGGTCCGGTGCAGGAGGCGGCCGCAGGAGAGGAATCGGAGCCTGCAGGGGAGGGGTCGGCGGGAGCCGCCGCGGCGGCGGAGGGCGGCGCAGCGGCGGAGGGCGGCGCAGCGGCGCGTGCGGAGGCTGCGGCGGAGATGGACCGGCTGCTCCGGGATTGCTTCCTGCACGCCGCGCACGCGGCAAGGACGCGTCGCTGCCTCCCCACGACTGTGGCTGGCCGAGATGACCCGAGGTACGCCCCGAGGCGTAGGTCAAGGACGCGTCGCTGCCTATGACAGTCAACGCGTTCTACAGCCAGCACATGCGCCCAGGCCGACCGGCGGGCACGTCGCTCGACGTCAAGGTCTCGAGCCGCCAGAAGGGGAAGAAGTCCGGGGAGGGGGGAATCAAAAGGGCCGCTGTGGGCAGGCCTCGAGCTACAAGAAGCTGAGCGCGTTCGCGAGCGCGATGGAGCGCGACGGCCTCGGCTCGGCTCCAGCGCCTTCTCTTCCCTGGGATCCCAGCTGTTCGCTCTTAGGAGCGAGAGGGCCTCTGCACGACGGCAACGCCAAAGCGCGGCGGGCTCTCGCCCTCCGGCTCACTCTGGTCTCTCCCCCGACCCGCGCCGTTTCCGCCCCAGGCTCGGCGAGCTCAGCGTCAGAACGCTCGGCCGCTCGACAGACGCGTATTGCCA